TGTCCGAGAAATTTTTATAGAAAATATGCATCCTCCGACAAGAATCGAACCTGTACCCTATACGGAACGGTCATTCAGCCTGGCGTGCTCTTAACCGATCGAGCCACAGGAATCACTCTTCTTACTTCCCAGTCAACTTTGATCTTCAAAAATTTCAATGCAATGTCAATCGTTATCTTCTGTCTTCTTAATTCCTCTTCTTTTATTGTCCTTTCCCCTCACTAAAGTCTTCTAATTCTCTTTCACTTTTCCTACTTTCCAGTCAACTTTCATCTTCAAAAAACTTCAATGCAATGTCAATTGTTATCTTCCATCATCTTAATTCTTGTTCTTTTTTTTCTCTCTCTCCTTAATAGTAGTTTTTTATGTGTCTATATTTCTGAGATGAGGTATTGTAACTATTTACATTATTTACATCGTTCGGACAGTTGTCCTCATCTTTATTGCACTATTCATGACGTTTCGGGCGTTGTACGCTTAGACCTTCTTCCGGACACATTGTCCAGTGGATAAAAACCTTCGCTGACTAATCCAAATGTGACCTCACCCAAAGAGTTGTGACTACAAAACCTGGCTACATCTGTGGAAACATTAACTTGGAGTTACTAAAAGGAATTTACTGATACTGAGATATCCCCCCCACCAGAAAAAGCCATGTCTGCAGAAGCTGCCATGTCAATAAGAAAGCACATACAGTTTTTGTGGTTTTTGATCACGATGTGTCGCTAAATAGCTTTGAATGCCCTCTCCGTGTACATTGTAAAAGACCATAATTGTTACAGGTCTTCTCCCTGTAACCAGATGTGGGTGATATTCTTACCAGTTTCTTGCAGTTTCCGTAAAAGTTGTCGATTATCCAGTGCTGATACTGGCTCACTCTGTCATGACAAGTTTTATATTCACTTGGTGCTAACACCGTGAAACATGATAAAAGATAGTCAATTGCTTATCAGAGAATCTGTATTTTGGGTTACCACAATTTTTCAGCATATGTGATTGGTATTTTTTAGTTTTCAAGCAAATTATTATTATTACTATTATTATTATTGGTGTTATTGTTGTTATCTAACTTATAAGTTGGACAAGCCTTAGATTAAATGAAAAATTAAAATTAAAAAATTTGTCCGGAAATACTGAGGCCTTTCAACTTGTTGAGAACACCGATATGCCAAGCCCTGTCAATCGCTTTCGAGATGTCCAAAGCAACATCAGAAGCTTCACTTGAAAAAAACTTGATAGATCGTTTCAGCAACAGTCGTTAGTACATCAATAGTTGACCTAGAGAAATGAATGCCATATTAATTGTCCGAATGAAAGCCCTTCGCAGTGAGGGGCTTAAATAATTCAGAGTTGATTAGGGCCTCGATTAATTTCCCGAAAAGGATTAGAAGGATGAGAGGATTATTGTTCGTGGGTCAGTCGGTTTCACCTGAGTTCTTAAAGACTGGGAAAATAGATGAGGATTTTCAACAAGCAGGAAAGCAAGAGGCAGTGAAAGATTTCTTCTACAGTTTAGAGAGAACAGGGGCCAGTTGGAGAGTACATTTCTGGATGGAATTTACAAGGGTAACGTCAGGTCCATTTACTTTGTGGGGATCCAGATTCAATATGATAACAAAAACGTGGACGGAGTTATATGCCTATCATTTAACACACACACACACACACACACACACACACACACACACACACACACACACACACACACACACACACACATATATATATATATATTTGGGTGTGACACAGAGTTCAACACAAAGCGGCGATAGACTGTTTCATGTTTCAACACAATATTCAGGTTATATATGTTTTGAAATGCTGAGATAAACTTTTTAATATATATATATATATATATATATATATATATATATATATATATATATGTGTGTGTGTGTGTGTGTGTGTGTGTGTGTGTGTGTAAACGACTGTTTGCTTCTGGGTGTTGACATCACTTTTATATTTACATAAGCTCTATCCCTGATATTGAGCACTTTAGCACATAAATATACCATAACTTAAAACTGTGTTTATCTTATATATATATATATATATATATATATATATATATATATATATATATATATATATATGTGTGTGTGTGTGTGTGTGTGTCCGATGTAATGAGAACGAAAATAATACATAAATTCTAACGTTTACAGCATTAATAAAAAAGTTGGCTCGATACTGATAGTAGATCAATAATTATTTATTATAAATTTTTTCCTATAGACAAAAACAATTTACTCACTACAAAGATTCAACTTCGTTTCGGCGCATTTCAATTGCACCTCAACTGGTGAGAACCAAAATTGGTTATGAACAATTCTGATTTTAAGCTGGCTGTATGTGAAAAGAATACATAAAGCAAAAATGTGATGGAGTGAAACAATAATGCTTGTTGATAGCAGTTTGATTAAGGATGGGTGAGATGTTAAAGTGCTAGTTAGATTGGTAAAATTTCTTGTCGATAACAACGGTCAAATGTTTAGGCACAGTATTTCCAAACCACCGTCTTTTGCAGACATATTAAAGATCTAACATTACAGCCTTGCTAAATTCTTAAATCCATAACTCTAAACGTTTAAAATTATAACCCACCTCCTTTGATATACTTTCTAACCTCTTATATAACTCTCCATTAATTTATCCTAGATTATGATTCTTAAATTTGTTGGCGCTTATATACTACTAGTAATACTTTCAGAGAAATTGTTTTACACCCATACTTATTCTAAACGTTATACTGTCCGACAATAGATCGAAATTAAATTATAAAAGTTATATTAATATCCTATACTTTTATATACTCTTCTACTTATAATTTAATTTCTAAATCAAAACTGATTTAATTTTTTTAAAACCCCGATAACTTATATATTCAACATACCAAGAAAAAAAATCACTAAATTTCTTAATTTACAAAACACTTTCATTGATTCAGCTTGGATTTTTATAATAACCAAAAAGGTCATTCCCAATTAATACTATAAATATCGTTTGAATTTATCCCTCCTACCCTTTTCATCGTATTACTATTTCCTACTCCCACCTTCCCTCCTTCACACCTCACTCTTAGAAGGCTTGGAAATGATGTGCCTAAACTTTTTATCGTTGTTTTCGACAAGGAATTGATATATGATGGTTTCGATTCCTGTTGGGAAACAGATTTTATTTTGTAGGCCTTCCGATATCTAAACCAGGAGGCATTGATTTCACCGTTTATAAAACAGGTATATCTAGTCAAGCATAACATCTTAAACATACTTCTTTTACTAATAAAAATTATTGTCGCATAAAAAATTAATTACTCAATAGAATCCCTGAAAGTGCATGTCTGCTGTCGAGTAGCAAAGGTTATTTATGCTTTTATATTAAACCTCTACAGGAATGGCGCCCAGAAATCTTTGCATACAGTTTTTGCAACTTCTTTATAAAGACATGTCTTTGGGATTAAAAAAATGATGCTTGAAAAAGTGATAGTCATTGGACAAGAGCTCAGTGGAATATGGTAAGTTCCAAAGTCTTGTATCCCAAGTCGTTGAACGTCTACAGTGTCATCCTGGTAACACGTGGCCGTGCATTTTCATGAAGCAAAACTGGGCCTCCTTGATTAATCAGTAGCGGTCATATTTTGTGTGACTGAATGTGCATTTTATCCAGTAAATTTCGGCAGTGATGCTCTGGTTAGATTCTAGAAAGAATAACGCCAATGGTAGGTCACCAGATAGTCATCTTAATCTTCCGTTTGAGCAATTTCAGTTTTGGAAACTGTTTGAGAGCTTCGTCTTGATGACATCATGGAGTCGATCTTTTACTATTGTTATAAACCAGGGGTCACCAAACTACGGCCCGCGGGACGGATCCGGCCCCCGATGGCAGTTCATCCAGCCTGTCGATTCACTGGGCCACAAATAAGCTAGAATATAATTATTTATTTTGAATTATCAATAGACTGTAGTTAAATTTACTATGCCCTTAATACCGTGATGAATATTAATCGCACAGACCAAAAGGTTTGCATTCTGGGTATGACGATAAACTACATCCAGCAGCAAGGCATCTGAGCATTGAATGCCTGCAATGTTCTCCTGGTAACGCGTGGCCGAGCATTTTCATGAAGCAAAACTAGTCCTCCTTGATTAGTCAGTTCCGGTCGCATTTTGCTTAACAGAATGTGCACTTCATCCAGTTCCTGGTAGTAAACTTTGGTAGTGATGCTCTTGTTAGATTTCAGGAAGCTGTAATGGATAATTCCAATGACGGACTACCAGACAGTAACTATAATGTTCTGTTCGTGCAATTTCGATTTTGGAAACGGTTTCGGGTCCTTCTTCAGGATCAAACCATTGAGGAGTCGTTTACAATTATTGTAAAGAATCCCTTTCTGATCATAAGTCACTATCCAATCAAGAAATGCACCATTCGATTATCACCGATGGTGTACCAAACTGACTTCATAACGCTTTGGCTTTCTCCGAGTTCAAGTGGAACCCATTTGTCGAGAAAAGACAAAGAAAGAGGCCAGAGTGCAGAATAGACAGAGGTGAGTAAGGTAAACCTAATTACAACAATGACAATTTTCTTAATGAGAGAAGACAGAGTGAATCAGGGAGATACAACGAAACGTACACTTCAGTAAACAAATCAAATGAATTACATATGAAATGATATGGCATTAGTTGCAAATATGACATCCAGTGAGTAAAGATCGTCGTTCATGGAAGCCTAGAATAGCATAAAAAGCAATTATGCAACAATGCCATGATAGGACACAGGATGATAACAAACCTAACGATATACTAAATGAATATAGAACATTGGATTAGAAAGCGTACAAACATAGGCGTGCGTGTGTAGGAAGGGTGATCCCATTGTGAACAAATAAAATTTAGGCAATAATGTATACACAAATCCGGACCCCTTTTAGAGAATAAACAAATATTATTTTGGACTTTGAGATTCAAACAGAGCACTCAGTTCAGGCCAGGAAACAAACTTTAATTGTCGTGAAGAAAGTGCGTGGGAGAAAATGGAAGAGAAGAAAAGGATACAGAGAGAAAAAGTGTAAGTGAGAGAGAAGGAGTGAGAGAGAAAGTGAGATAAGAGGTGAGAGGCAAGAGAGAGAGAGAGAGAGAGAAAGAAAAGGAATGAGAAAGAGGAGAAGTGCGAATGAGAAAGAGTGAGGGAAAATGGAAAAGAAGAAAAGGATTCAGAGAGAAAGAGAAAGAGTGTGTGTGTGAGAGCGTATAAGTGAGGGAGAATGTGACAGAGAAAGAAAGAGTGATAGGTAGATAGCGAGTGGAAGTGAGTGAGTGAGTGAGTGAGAGAGAGATAATGAGAGTGAGAGAGAGAGAATGAGAGTGAGAGAGAGAATGAGAGAGAGTGAGAGAGAGAATGAGAGTGAGAGTGAGAGAGAGAAAATGAGAGAGAGAATGAGAGTGAAAGAATGAGAGTGAGTGAGAGAGAGTGAGAGAGAGAATGAGAGAGAGAGAGAGAGAGAATGAGAGGGAGAGACCGTGCTAAAATCGTAAATTTTTGTTTCAGAAAACCACCGAGAAATAAAAAGAAATTAAAATAAAAAAAACCTCTAGACCTGTTTCCGAATTTCTCCGGACAACTGAAAAAATGATGCCGACAGTTGTGCCAATAGTTTATGGAGTGCAACGTGAAACGTTGGAGGAATTGTAAACAACTAAAAAGAAATAAAATACTATGTCTATGTAATATTGAGGTGACTTGCTGTCACTTGATCTTCATTCTTGCAGAATAAAGTTCAGAGGTAACACAAACCAGAAGCTGTTTTAACGTCTCAAAAATTGAAATGCTTCAGGATTTTGGAACTAAATCCGGGCCAAGCTCAACAGGAATAGATAGGTTGGCCTATCGCCCAGTTCACACTCCTCCCCGGTCTTTTGAACAGCAGTAGAGATTTATCCGTTGCTTCGTGTTTACAATTTGGGTTTCCGGTTCATTCTAAAGACTTTTCCTTCCATTTCACTTGCAGCAATCCCTTGTACCTTAGTGGCATTATCGCCTTAATAAGATGTGCTTATAAATCACTTTTAATCCCAATGTTCATTCAGTAAATCTCGGAGGTCACTCAAGATAGAGGGGGGTTGCTGTTAAAATGGTTATTGGGAATGAGATGTGTGATACAAGGAAAGGAAGTAAAAGGAAGAGAAAATTGAAAGTATAAGGAGAATAGATAACGATTGGTCATTGAGTTGAAAAAGTTAGATTGTTGTGGATATGGAAGCAACAAAAATGTAACTCTACAGAATGATGTTGAGGATGCCATGGAAAGAACATGCGAGCAACGACGAAGTTTTAAAGAAAATGGAAACAAAAAGGAAACTTATAAACATCAGGAAGAGACAGTTGAGGTTTTGAGGGGAATGTTGTGAGAAAGGAGGGCTTGGAAAATCTGATACTCACAGGATAGATTGAAGGCAAGAAGGACAATGCATAACCTACTTAAGGAGCTTGAGTCAATGAATGACGGAACAAGGTTTAGGAGAGATAACAAAAAGACAAAATTTATTAAGAGCTGCAAAGGACAGGAAATTGTGGAGAGCCATGATCGTCTACGTCCTGAAGGGACACGTCACATAGAAGAAGAATTAACTTGAGTAAATGAATGACGGAACAAGGTTTAGGAGAGATGACAAAAAGACAAAATTTATTAAGAGCTGCAAAGGACAGGAAATCGTGGAGAGCCATGATCGTCTATGTCCTGAAGGAACACGGCTTAAAGAAGAAGAAGAATGAGTAAATGGATGACGGAACAAGGTTTAGGCGAGGTCAGAAATTATAAAATTTGTTAACAGCTACCAAAGACAGGAAATTGTGGAGAGCCATGATCGCTTACGCCCTTAAGGGACATGTCACATAGTGGAAGAAAGTTCTGCAGATAGTAAGGGGTTTTCATTAATAATTACACGATTTAAGTCGACAAAAATACAGAGATATTCAGATAATTGAGAGGATTGTTTTCACTTAATCCTAACGAGGGTGTCTTTTCATGCCTCTGGTGCGAACACGTGCGATAAAACCAAATAATAATAATAATGTTGACGATAAAGTGGTTTAGTAATTACGGCGATTATACTAATTTTGATGTTAATTTCCTTTTTAATTACTCATTACTACTTTATTTATTTATTTCGAAAAGCAAGAAGAAAAAAAGGCCATTTTGAGGATACCAGTGGCGAAAATCGTGCTGATAATGATTTACAAACGAACGTCTCCTTTCCGGCAAACAATGGAAACCAAAAGCGAAAAGAAGGTCGATGGCGGTGGGAGATGAATTGAAAATGAATCGTGTGCCGTCCCCACTACTTCCTGGATGAGGATGGGGAGGTTTATACAGGCGAGGGTCGAGTCCGGGGCTGGGCGAATGAGACGCTGGGGTGAAGGGTTAGCAGCTCGGCTTATTAGCACATGTCAAACGCTATGTGCGTTTGAGTTAAAATATAGCTGCGTTGCAATGAATAAGTGGAATGTGAACAGAGATGGAAGTGGGCGGGGGAGAGGAACAATATTTGTGGTGGTGGGAAGAGCAGACAATAAAGAAGAAGAAGAAGAGGAGGAGGAGGAGGAGACTGGGGAAAAGAAAATATTTTTAAACCACAAGAACGAGAAGAAGAAGAAAAAGAAGAAGAAGAAAAAATGAAGATGAAGAAGGAAGAAGAAGAAGAAGAAAAAGAAGAAGAAAAATGAAGATGAAGAAGGAAGGAGAAGAAGAAAGAGATTTAAGCAAGAACGAGAAGTCAAAAGAAGAGGAAGAAGACAAGCTGAGGATATAGCTGAAATGAGTAGTAGTAGTAGTAGTAGTAGAAGAAGAAGAAGAAGAAGAAGAACAACAACAACAACAATAGCAACAAAAATAACAAGAACAACAAGAAGAGACGAGGATGAAAAAAAGAAGTAAAATACAAGAACGAGAAAAATAAACTAAAAAGAAGATGAGGGGCGAGAAGAAGAAAAAGAAGAAGAAATAGAAAAAACAAGGAAAAAGAAAAGAAGAAGAGGAATGATATAAAGAGACTAAGAAAAAGAAGTGTAGGAAGAAGAAGAAGAAGAAGAAGAAGAAGAAGAAGAAGAAATAAAACAAGAAAAGAAGAGGAATAATATAAAGAGACTAAGAAGAAGAAGAAAAAGAAGAAGAAGAAGAAGAAGAAGAAGAAGAAATAAAACAAGAAAAGAAGAGGAATAATATAAAGAGACTAAGAAGAAGAAGAGTAGGAAGAAGAAGAAGAAGAAGAAGACGAAGAAGAAGAAGAAGAAGAAGAAGAAGAAATAAAACAAGAAAGGACGAGAAGAAAAGAAGAAGAGACTAAAAAGAAGAAAAGAATAGAAAACAACGAGAAAGAGAGGAAGAAGGAATAAAAAAGAGAGGACGAGATGAAGAAGAAGCAGAGAAATAGGAATCAGATGGGTGAGAAGCAGGGACGAAGAAGAAGAAGAAGAAGAAGAAGAAGAAGAAGAAAAATCAGAGACAGACAAAAAATTGAAAAAAAAAAAAACCTCTGTCGTGAAACCTTATGCTAAGAAATGAAGCAAGATTGTCTAGATTGATAAACCAACTTTACTGCAATTGTTCTTAACTTATCAGGAATCGATTTTCATTTTTTTATTTTTTGAAATTCATTGTTTTTTTTGTATTTTCTTTTCGCAATTCCCGTTCCTCTGTTCGCCTTGAGGTATCTCCCCTTTTCTCCATGGCCTCTTATCCACTTATTACTTACCATAATATTTTTAGATTTTTTTTTTGTCATGTTCCGTATCCTTGCCTTGAAAAAAATGAAACAGAAAAACAAAAGAACATCGCTAAGAAGGACATTCCATTTCACCCTCGACTCAGCGCCATTTTTCTCCCGCTACGTTCGTTTCACTCTCAACTTTTTTCGTCTCCTTACATTAAAGATGTCGGTCTGAATGACGCAAATCACGACAATGACAAGTATCTTTTTTTATCTGAGGATTTCGTGGCCAAAGTTTCCATCGGTTCAATTGTTTGTCATTCAACCAATATTAACTTCAGAAATCGTAATTACTGTTTTTAGATATTTAGGTAGCCTCTAACACAGTATAAAGCGCATTGTAACAATGTATGGCCCAAGGTCACACGAGGAAGAATTTAGTGAAAATGGAACTCCCAGCATTCGTAATACTTAACAAGATAACTTAGCTGATTCTAATTTTTGGATTATTATTATTATTATTATTATTATTGTTGTTGTTGTTGTTTAATCATTTCACTCCAAGCAAGGCAATAAAGCCACTAAAATTCAAAGGGTTGCTAACTGCTAGAGAATAGGAGAAAAACTACTATTAAGGAGAGAGAACAAGAAAAGAACTAGAATTAAGAAGACAGAAGATATCGATTGACATTGCATTTAAAGATTTGAAAAACAAAGGTAATAAAGCCACTAGGATGCAAAGGGGTTACTGAGTGTTAGAGAATATGAGAAAAACTACAATTAAGGTGAGAGGTCAATAAAAGAATACGAATTAAGAAGACAGAAAACAACGATTGACATTGAGTTTAATATTTTGAAGATCAAACTTGAATGGGAAGCAGAAACCGGAAGAGAGTTCCACATGCGAGAAGTGCGAGAAAACAAACTATTGTTACAGAACTTATGATGAGACCTTGCCACCAATCTATTATTATTACGCTTAAATTCATAAAGTTTAAAACGGTTGGCAAGTGACTGAAACCAAAATGACAGATCAGGACCAACAAAATTGCAGATTTATCTTTGAATTCTATCAAGAATCTCTAAATATATAGCAGGAACACAAGTCATGATGTAGCGGCAATATTTAAAAAAAATGGATAAATGATACATTTATAAATATGTAAGATAGAGTCTGGCGAGAAAAAAATAATGTGAACCAACATTCTAACTGCGGGTGTAGCAATTAATTCAATACACTCTTTATTATATAAGCTTCATTTAAAGAATATCGATTGATTTTCTTTCGAAATTTTTTAAAAATAAATTGCTATCAAGTAAGGCAATAAAGCCACAAAGACGCAATGGGTGATTGAGTTGTAGAGAATATGAGAAAATATACTATTACGGAAAGAAAAGATTAAAGGAAAAGAATTAAGACGTCTGAAATAAAGATTGACATTGCATTTAAATTTTTGGAGATAAAATTCGACAGGTTAGCCAGAAGCCGGAAAAGAAATCCACAAACAACAAGTGCGATAGAAGAAAGTTATAAAATAGAACTTACGGTTACATTTCGCCATTTCAATTGTAAAATGATGAAACCTTACCGTCAATCTAGTACTGAGTACAAATTTTTAAAGACTGAAGGAAGAAAATAAATAAATAACATTTCAGAGTTTAGGCGTGTGTATGTGTGTGTGTGTGTTATTGTATTTAAAATAGCAGAAGAAACTGGTATAGTTTAGCCAGAAATTATCTGGACCGGAATAGACATTTTTTCCCTCTAAAATAGCTGAATAGCGCGGTGTTTAAATCGTCTTTCATCGCAAATTAAAAAATTAAAAAAAAATATCTTCCAAAAATAAAATATATTTTACGAAACTTTATTTGAGGAATATTCGCTGATTTAAAGTATAATTAATCCTATTTGAAAAAAAAAATACTTTAAGTTTAAAATAAAACAGAAATCAATTTTTAAATCAACACAGTAGCTGTATTTTTAACTGACATCGCCTTGTTTTACGTAATGCTTTTAACTAACGAAAAAAAATAAAATGGGGAATGAAAACAAAATTTCTCGAAATTTTATGAATTTAAGTAAGTAGAGGGTAGCATATTTAAAAAAAATATATATTTTTACCGAGATTATCTAAAAAAAAATAAAAAAATTTAAAATCAGTTTCATTTGTGAATATGTCCTGAAATTTCCTTTAAAATCCGACAGTTATTTGATTTTTGCAAGAATTTCCAAATCAATGGGTTTTTCACCTGAAAAAAAAAAGGCGTTAAAACAATAATAAATATTACATCGACTGCTGATGTAAAAAAAACAAACCCCAAAACAAGATTTTTAACCAAAATATTCGAACGTGCTGGAAATGATTAAAAAATTTAATAAAATAATAAAAAAAAATACGTTGGTCTTTCCTCTTAATAATAACATAAACATTTTGACGATAAAATTTAGTTTTTATTGTGTTTAAGGCCTTTTTTCATTATGCTATGTTGTTTTTCAACGAAAAGGCCGAGGTTCCTAAATTAAGTTTCGGAAAATTATTCCGATATTCGTTTGAATATTACGATTATAAGAGGGAATTGATTAAACCCATTACGGTGTTTCTGTTGATTTTTACCATCTTGGTTTTTTTCCGAAATATTCTAAATTCACTTTATGGTTGTCTCGTACTAAAGCTTTTATGAACTTAGTTCTACTTTTATCAAATATTTCCTTATTAGTGAAGTTAGTAAATAATCGAAGATGTACTGATTTATACAAATTATTTCAAATATTAGATGACTAATTAGATTCATTGTTAAAGTATCTATGGTCACGCAGTCATTTGGTATAAGGTTTGTAAGGTCATATCGAGAAAGTTGATCACTTTAGCATTGGGGGTTTGGAGTAATTTTTAGTTTATTATCTTTGAAAAGGTAAATCAGTTCCTTTCTGAATCGGTCTATATTTCTTGGACATGTTTTGCGGAGGAGAATCACACCGTCAAATTTGTAAAGTCCGGTGTTCTTAATATCGAAAAGAAATCTTAATCGGTAAAAAAACTAATTTCCAAAAGAATCTGAAGTACCTATTATGCAACACAACTAAAAGTAAGATGGGTAAAAAGATAAAAATCAAAGATTTATATGGCACTAGATATGTTAACTTGAAACCATTAGTCAAAATAAACGAAACTAAGTACTATTTACAATAGTTTACAATCGGATGAAATACATTTCAATTTATTTTTAAATATGTCAATTCTCCTCCCCGGTCTTTTGAACAGGAGTAGAGGTTTATCCCTTGTTTCCTGTTTAGGATTGAGTTTCCGGTTCCTTCTAAAGTCTACTTCAACTTTATACGTCTAACGTCTCCACTTAAACTCTGAAATGTTATTTATTTATTTTCTTCCTTCAGTCGGAGTAGATAGGTTTTTGAATATGAGTAGAGGTTTATCCCTTGTTTCCTGTTTAGGATGGAGTTTCCGATTCCTTCTAAACTCTATACTTCTAACGTCTCCACCTAAACTCTGAAATGTTATTTATTTATTTTCTTCCTTCAGTAGGAATAGATAGGTTTTTCGAACAGGAGTATAGGTTTATCCCTTGTTTTCTGTTTAGGATTGGGTTTCCGCTTCCTTCTAAAGTCTACTTCAACTCTATACTTCTAACGTCTCCACCTAAACTCTGAAATGTTATTTATTTATTTTCTTCATTCAGTAGAAGTAGATAGGTTTTTTGAATAGGAGTAGAGGTTTATCCCTTGTTTCCTGTTTAGGATTGGGTTTCCGATTCCTTCTAAACTCTATACTTCTAACGTCTCCACCTAAATTTTGAAATGTTATTTATTCACTTTCTTCCTTCAGTAAGAGTAGATAGGTTTTTTGAATAGGAGTAGAGGTTTATCCCTTGTTTCCTGTTTAGGATTTCGGTTTTCTAAAGTTCTTTCTAATCTCCAAAACTTCTTGTATTTATTTTCTTAGAAGTAGAAAATAGGACACCTCATTCAATTATGTTTTATCGGACTAAATTAAAAAAATATGATGTCTAATCAAACACGTGTAACCACGAAATATAACTTTTTTTAAATAGAAGTAATTATCCTTGTTTCCTGTTTAGATTAAAAATCTATTAATTGTTTTATCGGACTAAATATATATATATATATATATATATATATATATATATATATATATATATATATATATATATATATATATATATATATATATATATATATGTGTGTGTGTGTTTGAACAAATTTATAAAGATTTCTATGTACATCGCAGTCTTAACCAGCTTGGTTTTCTTCTTTCAACGTTAACGTTCGCTCTGATTAGCATAAGGTAGGCCAAAGGTGCAGCAATTTCCTGTTTCTATCCGCTCACAATACTAAGTGAATTACTGCTTTAACAATTTCCTTTTTTTATTTGTGTAAATTTCAGCATTTATTTCTCCTTTCCTATTTGCTTATAATTGTGACTGGGAGTCAAGAGTAAATAAGATTTTCGAAGAATCGGAAAAGTGAAAACTAGATAAATGAATAAATAAATAAACATATTGATCTACGGAAAATCTGTTTATGAAATTGATGAAGTAATTGAATTTAGCTTTCAAGAAATATAAATGTCCAACTACAAATCAGTTGCTAAATAGAGGAAAAGAGGAAAAACGAAATGTATCTATCTAACTTAATTCGATCATATCTATCTATCTATCTATCTATCTATCTATCTATCTATCTATCTATCTATCTATCTATCTATCTGTCTATGTTCATTATCTCTCTTGCTAACTATCTCAATCTGTTTGTATCTATCTCAATCTTTTCATCCCGGTCTGTTTATTATCTATCTATCTATCTATCTATCTATCTATCTATCTATCTATCTATCTATCTATCTATGTTCATTATCTCTCTTGCTAACTATCTCAATCTGTTTGTATCTATCTCAATCTTTTCATCCCGGTCTGTTCATTATCTATCTATCTATCTATCTATCTATCTATCTATCTATCTATCTATCTATCTATCTATCTTCATTATCTCTCTAGCTAACTATCACAATCTGTGTCTATCTCAATTTTTCCATCTCTGTCTGTTCATTATCTATCTATCTATCTATCTATCTATCTATCTATCTATCTATCTATCTATCTATCT